CATCGCACCCATTGGGTGAGATGGTAGCCACGCCACACATCCACCTGTTTACCATCGCACCCATTGGGTGCGATGGTAGCCACGCCACACATCCGCCTGTTTACCATCGCCACCTGTTTACCATCGCACCCATTGGGTACGATGGTAGCCATGCCACACATCCGCCTGTTTACCATCGCACCCATCGGGTGCGATGGTAGCCGTGCCACACATCCGCCTGTTTACCATCGCCGCCTGTTTACCATCGCACCCATTGGGTACGATGGTAGCCGCGCCACACATCCGCCTGTTTACCATCGCACCCATTGGGTACGATGGTAGCCGTGCCACACATTCGCCTGTTTACCATTGCACCCATTGGGTACGATGGTAGCAGTGCCACACATCCGCCTGTTTACCATCGCACCCATTGGGTGCGATGGTAGCCGTGCCGCATATCCGCCTGTTTACCATCGCACCCATTGGGTACGATGGTAGCCGTGCCACACATCCGCCTGTTTACCATCGCACCCATTGGGTACGATGGTAGCCGTGCCACACATCCGCCTGTTTACCATCGCACCCATTGGGTACGATGGTAGCCGTGCCACACATCCGCCTGTTTACCATCGCACCCATTGGGTACAATGGTAGCCGCGCCACACATCCGCCTGTTTACCATCGCACCCATTGGGTACGATGGTAGCCGTGCCACACATCCGCCTGTTTACCATCGCACCCATGTTACATACACACATTTGTACGTGGGCACATCCGCACACGTTTAGTGGGGCACACACATTCACTCCAAAAAAAGAACGGAGGGAGGGAAGGCCAAGGGAGTGAAGGGGCACAGCAGAGTGCAAGAAACAGGATGGAAGAAGGGAGGGCACATGGTAGGGGAAGGGAGGATGTTGGGAGGGAGCGTTGAGGGAAGTGGGGGGGATGATGGAGGAAGGGTGGAGGAAGAGAGGGAAATGGTATTGTGGAGGGATTATTGAGGGAGGGTGGAGTGAGGGTTGGAGGGTGAAATGATGGAAGGATGGAGACGGAGCGCCATGTCTCCCTTACTTCACCCCCCGAAGGAAAAAACA